ATCGACTTCATATGACTCAACCGAATCATTCCGACTTCAAGCGGTTCGAACGATATGACTTTTTGCGTGTTTATTTATTTTACGGAGCGCTGAGAGCGATTTTGTTAGTGTAATATCAATACCCAATTTTGATAATAATTAAGTGTTTTTGATTTTAAATGTTATCAGAATAAACCACTTAAAATTATCAAACGAGTTTCGGAAATCTTTCGATATAATTATCTTTTGAAACAATTACTAAACCCAGAAAAGCCAGTAAATTATATTTAACTTATTATTGTAAGTAGTAGCAAATTCACATTAATGAAATTAACTTTCATCTCTCAATTTAGATCGATCCTTTACTGATTATGTAGTAAAATAAACAATCGACACATGATTCCAAATATTATTTATATCTTTAGTGATCACAATTGTTTGTAATCTATTATTGTTTAAAAATTAAATTATTTTAATAATTATCAGAATATACTTTTTGATAGTATTTCATGTTTTCAATTTCTACTTTGTCGTTATATTGGTTAAACTAACAATTTGATTATAAATTTGGATCACTTTTACTAATAAATACATTTATAACTTATTTGTCCATATATATACTTGATTCGAGTTGATTCTAATCAGGTTTTTTTCTGATTCGAATCATTCGAATCGGGAATTTCTTGAGTCGGCGCATCACTAAAACTATGTTAGTGTTGAATTTTGGAGGGAAGGTGACTTAATTTTTTAAAACATTTCTTAAAGGAATAAGATGTTCCTGAAATGAAAATATTTTTCTTTTGGAAAATATTCAAATAAGCTTTTATATAGGCTGTGAAATAGGGTTTTGATATTGTTGTCATTAGGAAACTTAGTGATAGACTGATAATTGATGAGGGTGAGGTGATATTAGTTTTCTAAAAGAGTTTGGTTACTATGTTAAGTTCTGACTATGAAAAGATGAATGAGACAAATGATCGCGTGGTCTATTAAAGAAATAATTGTGTTAACTTTGTGATTTTTAAGGGTAAATGACACATGGTGAAGCTACCTACCAACCATATACGTTTTCTCTACCAATTCTTGTAAACAACGTTGTTGATTTTTTGTACAGTGTCGTCTGAAAAGTTTAATTTGTTGTTGTTTGTATTTCATGTGTAAACTAAATGTTCTTATTGTAACTGTTGAAAGTATCGAGAACAACATCCGTTTGTTCTTATTATATTATAAAAAGGTACCATCAACATGTCTAACGTAAAGATATATTCGGAAGTTTAATGTGGAGAAAGCAGAAATTTAATTTTTTTTTAATACTATATCTATAATGCCAGGGGATAGTGGGCACCCGTAGCAGTACCTGGTACCACATAAAGTTCGGAAAGGTAATACCATAAACCATGTTCATGGAGAACCTGTAGCAAACATGGAGGGACAGATCAGTAGTGGCGATAACTGATCACCAATCCTCTAAAGGTCGCCTTTTAATAATAGATAGAAACATTGACATAAATTTTTCGTAGAATAGCGGAGTGCTATCGGAAAATGGAACAAAACTTAGTATAAATTACGAGCTGCCAATGGTACTCCAATCAAAACATTCGGACTGAAGCATTTGCGTCCTAATCTCGGCTGCGGTGACAGATAGACTGAAATTTATTATTGCATATGTTGATCTACCGATAATTGGCTCAAATTGCTTAGCATTTTTTCGCGTTTATAGATATAGATTGCCGGAATAAACACATAGGTGATGGAACAACAGTGTTACACAATCCAGCACAAGAATTCGGAAATTCATCGACTTTTATCAGAATTTTCCAATTTTATTAAACTATCCGATACTCTACGTAGACCACTTCACAGCACAAGGCATTCCATTATCACATCGCCAGACCACCTGCATTCTGCCATCCACGACGTCTTACACCAGTCCCGATATCAGATGGCAAAAGCTGAATTTGAAATAGTGCTACAGGAAGACACTGCACGTCGTTCCAAAAGTTCATGGTCTTCTCCACTACATCTTGTTCAAAGAAAGTTGGGGGATGGCGACCGTGTGACATTTATTGCGCACTTAATGCAAGGACGATTCCAGGCAGGTCTCCAGTCCTTCACATCTATGATTTTTCTACGGATGTGCGATATTTTCGATCGTATATTTAGTGAAAGCTTATACGCAAATTCCTGTGGAAAAATCGAAATTCCAAAAACAGTAATATCCACGTCTTCCGACATGTTCGAATTTCCATTCATGTCTTCTGGTCTAAGAAAAGATGGACGTTGATTGGTTTGGATTTTTTGTTTTGTGTAATAGACAACATTTCATTTTTTTAGTAACAAACAAGAACATCGGAAGCATTTACGAGTGATATTTAGTAGCCTTAACTTTCATGGATTTATAATTAATAGGGCAAAAAAGCACATTTTGTGTTCCGAAAAATTCAATTTTTGGGATATGAAATTACCGCATAAATAATCAAGCCAACATGAAAATCCGAAGAATTTTTTTTCGAACGTCAAACGACAAGGCCTACTTACTGCAGAGAACTGCTAGAAGCTAGAGCTATATCTTGCCGTGAAGCACTATTGTTTTATGAGAAATTTGGAAATACTATGTAATTAATTAACTTCCGTGGGGTAAGTTATTGTAATCGTCTAAAAATCGAAATTGAAAATTTTTACATTTTTTAACGTTATGGAGGTTTCTGATTTGGGTTTACCTATGAAAAAATGGATGTGTGTGTGTATGTATGTATGGATACAAGTTTTAGTCCACGTTTTCGGGCGCACGGATCAACCGATTTG